ACAATAAAAAAATTACATCACCTTTACAGAAACAGTAAAATTCATTAAACAAAACAAAACAAATACATTTCCATTCATTTCTAAACTTTAGGACTTACTAATCAATTCACGGTCAGGATTTCATTTGCTTCTTATTGCCAATAGCACCATTCATGCTCCTCTCTTAACTCTGTACTGATTAGAGTTCTTTTTGAGAGACAAAGTCCAGCTGTTTGAAATCTCATGGCTCATTTTCAGAAAGGTCTGTCAGGACTGAGCTCCCCATCTTCCCTCCATAGAAGCATGAATATGCTTCCCTTTGGAGTTCGGTGACTTCATGTTGTTAGGTTGAAAGAACAAGGGTCCAGTGGCTTTTTTTTTTTGTCGATTATGGGACTTGAACTCTGGGCCTGGGCGCTGTCCCTCAGCTCTTCAGCTCAAGGCAAGCTAGAATTACAGGCGTGAGCCACTGGTGCCCAGCTCATGTTCTGCTTTTTTGTCTGCACTTAATAGTTTTCTGTTTCCTAGATAACTATGCTGAACAACTAATTTTGTTGGAGTTTCTTTCTATGCAAATATAGATTAGTGGTCATTTAAGCCCCAGCCAACCCCCATTCCATTTTTCCTAAGTTTACCTACAAGGCAGCTGTGTCATGGAGTAGAAGGACCAGTTAATGATCCCAAATTAGTTTTTTATTTTCCTTGTTTGTGCTACTGATGCACCTTGCATTTGCTATGCAAATGCTCTATTACTTCAGCTATGCCCAGCCCTTTTTGCTTTTAGATTTTTTTAGACAAGCTTTTGCCCCATGATTCTTCTGTCTCAGTCTCCTAGGTCGCTGAAATTCCAAGTCATGAGCCACTGGCTCCAAGTGAACTTCTAACCATGGAGATCTGTAAAAGTGGACATTTAGATAGGACTTCAAATAAGGACACAGGTAAAAAGAATTATGAAGATAAGGCCTCAAGGAATTAGAAAGCCATGAAGAGACAGAAGACCTCTGCCACCTTTAAGGTCTTCTTTTACCTATCATGTGTAGTGAAATGGTCTAGATATCTGAAAGACATTCATTCAATTATTTCCCTCAGGTGACTTCCAGTAGAACCAGCCTCTGGGGTCACACTCTGCAGTTAACTGGGATCTCCACTGAGTGCTGGCATAATGTTGTAATATTTTTACAATAAAATATGTCATATAAATGAAGCTGTGGTGAAACAAAATTGTTAATCAAATCATGTTTGGATGCTTGTTAAAATGTTGACATGTAAGTTTGTTAATAAATAATGATGCAGCCTCACATTAAAATTGACATTCCTGGTACAAAGAGGAATATTTGGTATATATCCAGCCATTAAGGAATACACTTGGGCCAAAAGAAAAGAAAGAAAGTTCAGAAAGCATTGATATTTTACCCTACATACTCCTCTGTCTCTTGATCTACTTCACAAACTCTTCCAATCCCACCAGTACTTCTCAAAATTTAGTCCATGACTTTCATAATATGACTGCCAATAAACTTTGCCTCCCAATCTTCCACCTCCTTCCACCTTATCTCACGATGCTAACCAAACCTTCATTGGCCTCTTCACTGCTAACTCCATACTTGGTTCAAGCCTGGAGACTCCTTACCCTGCTTCCTCCTGTCCCTTTTTGAAGCTAAATTTGAATGGCATTTGCCATTCTTCATCCTTCATTCTCAGTCAGTATGATTTTTTACTTGGAAATATCATAGTTCTCTTGTACAACTCTATGTCTTTGTGAGTAACTGTGTGTGCTAAACACACAGTCACATACAAATATATCTTTGTATTAGTGTATGATCATGCCAATATATTGCAAATTTATGTC